CCCCCCCCCCCCCCGCTTAATTTACCCAGCTAAAGTTTCAGGGACAAATTAACCGTCGTGAGGTATTACATTTGACAAATGCAAGAACGGGAAGAAGGAAGGAACGGCTGAAACAGATACGCATACACGTGTTCCTCAATGCAACGCAGGGCGATTAGCGTCATCTTAAAAAGAGAACGTCACAAATTGTACAGAGTAGAAGTGAGGATGGTTCTAGTTGACAGCAGTGTCTTGCCCCGGTGTCCCTGTCAGAGTTAAGCCGAAGCTCCACGAGGATGACACTGTGTGTCTAATGACTCTGCACTGCAGAGCAGCTCTGTTTGCTGCAGTCACGACTGCCCTACAGAAACAACCAAACAGAGGACAGCAGGGCAGGAAACGGCTGACAGGAGGATTTTCTAATCTGCTTTCTCCTCTGGCTTTGGGCTCGTACAATTAGTCATCAAAGTAAAACTAGTGAAAACTAATGCAGTCTAATACAGCAGCTTTGCAATAAATCCTACCTTCATAAAGGTTGTAACGTTCAGTCTTTGATGAAACTGTTTCAGAGGAGCTGATTCAACTTTAAGCTCATTTTTATGTGGACCTGATTATATTTACTCAGCCCTCATTAGTAGAAAAGCTGTCTTGGAGATACTACTGTTCAGGCTTGTAGATTGTTGGGTGCGTTGCTACGAGCCCTTTGGTTAATTTATAACAACAAATGAGAGCTGTGTTTGTGTACTCCGAGGTCAAGCGTGTTTGTAGTGAGCAGTGGGCTCCACCAAGACGAGTATTCATGAATCTCTACCATCTGTCAAGGAACGGAAGCTCTCAGGGCTATATCGCTACCTGTTTATTTTACAAATGTAGTTCTGCTGGCTTCATCAGATCGTGACCAGACGTATACACTGTGTTAGTGGGTATCCAAGATGAGAGTCGGGTCCTGTCTGAGGCCATGGTGCGATGGATCGCCCCCTCAAGATTAGGAGTGAGTTTCAGGCCCATAAAAGCAGTTTAGAGTCTTGTTCACGGTCGAGGAAGCTTGTTGCTTAAGATTGCAACTACCGGACAGTCATGGTGGAATACAAAGTGTTTCTATGGTTGCTTGTAGTGCTAAATCTGGGAATACTTATAAGTGATGAGTTATTAAAGGTTGGAATATTAGTTTTTGAGGTTTTTCATGATTGGTCAGTCAAAACATGATAGTTTGTCTTCATGAGGGGAGTATGGACATGTGGAACTGCTGCTGTAGATTAGTGGAGAAGATGTTATTGTCCTTAAAGAGGCAACTTGTGTTACAGCACAGAGGGCGTGAAAGTCTACAGGTGCTTGTTTCATTGTGTCCACCACCGATATGCTCTGCAGTGAGGCAATAAAAATGCATTTTAAAACATTTGCGTCATTATTATTTGTCTAACATGTTATTGTCTCTGCTGTGTGTTGTTTCCTGCTTACTTACCATCTAGTAACAAAGACAAAGAGAAACACATTTCAGTCTTTAGACTTACAGGATGAATATTAATAAAACTTGTGCCTGCATGTCTACACAAGACTGCATGTATTGTGCATTGCACTGCTGTGGTCAGCCTTTCCACACTGTGGAGAGGTTCAGCTTCATAAAGCGGTACACTCTGCGGCATGTGCTCACACACACACACACACACACTAATGGACACTCCCTCCCTCCAGTCTTCCCCTGGTTAAACAGCATCCTATTAACAGGCCGCTGGCAATTTTCCGCCTGGCTAGACTGTGATTCACATGTCAGTGACTGCACTGATGATGTCTGTGCAGGGGTCATCGCTGAACCAGCTCTGCTGTACTGATGCTCTCCTGTCACTGCCACAGGAGAGCATCAGTACAAGTGTGTGAAGTTTAAAGTGAACTACATGGAACATTCATTTTTGTTGCTTTTGTGGACAAAAACAATTGTTTTTCATGTTGTAAAGATCTTCATCTATCTAGTGTGTGCATTTGTTTTTGGAAGCGAGTGACAGAAAGACGTAACCAGGTCGTGAATATGTTCACTCACTTAATGGTTTTCATGGGATCTGTTTATGAAAAATGTAGTCATTCCTGTTTTACCCCTTAAACTGACCAAAGTATGATTCTGACCCATCTTCATCCAAAATGACCACATGGACGGAAAGAAAGCTGTTCATTAGGGTTTTATTTTTTTGAGGCAAATCAATGAATATATGTACTTTATACAGTATATGAGGAGCACATCTCTACAGTTTCATAATGTAAACAATCTCTGAAGAGAAATGTATTCAGTTTAAAAGGAAGCCATAGTCTTCTGTTTTAAACTATTTACATGAGTTAAAATATAATTTATAACATCAGATACTTCCGCTTCTATGAAACTAGATTTTAGCAATTCAAAAATACTGAAATGCCTTTTGTCCCCACATTCTCAAGACATGTGAAATCACAGAAAACGGAGAAAAAAAACAGAAAAACACCATTTAAAGACATCCAAACTAAGTGGCGTATAAATAATAAAAAGAAACGCAAAATAAAACCAACATATGTAAAAATATAAAATCTCACTAGCAGTATTTACCTTTTTGTTTTTACCAAAAACTAAGTTAAAAAACAAAAAAATCATTGATGTGAATTTGATAGTCATTAGATGTAAAGAGACAATAAAATCAATAGAAATGAAAAACAACAAAAACAATGTATGCCCTTTATGTCAAAACATCTTCTTCCACCAAAACAAGGAAAACACCCACACTCACATTTAGCAGTTTGACAGTTTGCAGTCCCTACTGAGTGCCTATTTGACATCACTGTTGCTATCAAGTTTGACAGGTTACCTATTAGTTTCTGTGTTGATGTTGAAATGTGATCATGTTGCTGATCAGACATGAAAGAGGAATCTGAGGCCGGTATTGCAAGCGCTCCTGTCCTGGTAGGGGCTGATTGGATGGTGTACCTAGCTGACGGATACATTGTTCTCCAAAACTAAAACAGTAAGTGACATAAAAACAAAGAAGTGTTTTTTTCTTTTCTTTCATGGGCCATGGCATTGAAAACAACAACATCTATAAAACTGAATTTTTCACGAGCCACGCTCTTTATTGTTGAAGTTTTATTTTTTGGTCAACTTGCCGATCAAGTTTAGTGGTTTTCTCGCCATTGTCCATTTTTCTGAAATGAAGAATGTAAAGAAAGGTATTGCATCGTGACTCGGGTAACTTCCTTTGGAAGGATGGTTTTTGTTTTTTTGTCTTTGTCTTTCCTTTTTTTTTTTTTTTGATTTGTTGTCCATCGACCTAGGACCTAGACCAAGTGGACAGCAGTATTATGTTGAAATGTGTCAACGTGTTCTCAAAACACTGAGGAGAATGGTCAACATCAAAGTTTTTCTATAAGAAAGTATATAATAATCTAGATATCTACACAAACACACAAATATATATATTCATATATATGTATATACCTTTTCATTATAATATGGCTATTGAAAAAAGTTGTAATTACGTCAGTAATTATTTAATAATAAACCACGTTGGATTGGAAAGGAGCTGAAACGGTAATATTGAAAGCTAGTGGTAGCTCAGTTTCCCACCCCGATTGAATTTTAAGGCTTGCAATGATGGAACATGGGGCTGTTTCAATGTCAATCACCTCTTGAACAACGGGGGCACGCACCACTGTAGAAATCCCACCACATGCTCTTCGTCTTCAGGTTTCCTCAAATAAGCGGAAGTCAGATTTTTGGATTAGGTGGAGAAATAATGCTCGAACTCCACAAAGCAACAGGCTCAACAAGAGCTAGCTCTGCCACTTACACAACTTGTTTTGCGAATCATAAAACTTTCCACGAGTTTGAAGGCATGTTTCTTATCCCAGTCACGCCCCTTGACTTCCACCCTTTCTCTCGCACTACTTCAAGGTAAAATAACTTTTCGTCTTAACGCGGCCTTTATATCGATGAATCCGGTTGCCTTCATGCTTTAGTTAGCGTCTATCCTGCTTCCGTACGGCACAATCTTGCGAAGACAAAACTACGCGTTCCAGCTATTCGGACCATAAAACCGTTCTGTAACTTACTTTTAAATTGCAAGTGATTTAATCCAAATGCTTCCCTTTTGGGACGACATAGAGGGGCAGCAGTGGAACTGGGATTTCTACAGCGTCTACCTCATCTGTGTCCACTAGAGTGAAAGCTGACGACTCGCTTCAGTCCTCCTTTCCCTCCCACCCACATTCCTTTACCAGTCAATCATGTATAGTTATTGGCTGTTAGCGGTCATCAAACTAAGTGTTCTATGCAACTCAGATTTGAACAAACCTGTGTACCATCAAAAGGTGGTAATAACATAGTTACAATGGCTTCCTTTCAACGTAAAGAAAAAACTGTGAAGTTATTTCACTACTTGGGAGGTTATTTGTGCAAGAGTATATTAGCATTTGTTTTGTATACGTGTTACCCACATTCTTCCTGTAGTTTGTTTTTATGATTCGTCGTGTTGAACAGCAGTCTACGTACAGAACAAGTAGCCTATTGAATCTGCAGCTCAAAGATCGCCCGTGTTGTAGAACAACCAACCACACACTGTACATTATTACCTCAGTTTCTCGGAAAGACATGTCATCAAGATAAAATTATTATGTATTGCATTTCAAATTGCTCGAAGAAAAAAACCATAAAAAAATATTTAGTCATTTCATAAACGGCAAATAAACATAACCTTCTAGTGCGATAGTCTAAAGGGATACTTGTGTCGTTCTTTTACAACAGTGTTGGACTTGAAGTCATTTCAACTGAATTTTTTCCCTTAAATTTCCTCCCTGTACTGAAACAAACATTGACTAATTTGAAATAAACCTACCTGACCATCTGCTGTCTGATTAGCAATCAACTATGACGCGCCACTTGAAAAAAAATAAACACATAATACATTTTATGTTTACAACGAGGCATAGTGCTATATACACATTTTATATTCATATATTATATTTTCCTTTTTTTATATATGTAAACCAGCACATTCTCTCACTTTTTAGTAGTATACATACTAAGCACAAATACTCATTCAGTTGTTTGAGATGTTAATTGTTAAAATTTCTTTTTTTCCCTCCTTTTAAAAAAGTTGACACCTTGTTTCTCTATCGGTATGTATAGCACTAAACTGTTTTTGTTAGTTTTGGACATCAGTGAGCCTGGAGAAGTAACGCGAGGTCGCTTCACTTAATTTTCTTTTAAAACACTGAATAAGGCGCCTTTGTACTAAGTGTGCGTTCCTAATGAAGTCAAAGGAGAATCGAGTGATGTAAACATTCAAATTTTTGTGTGTGTTACCAAGGAGTTGATTAGATAGAGTAGGGACAAGGAAGAGGATGGGGGGGGGGGGGGGGTTTATCTGTTAAAAAGCAGGGAGTTTACCAGGGTTTGGGAAGACCTGGAAACAAGGCCTTGAACCCACAAGCGACAGAAAGCGATAGAGTTGGAGGAAAAGGACGGGCTGCGATTTGTTGAAATTTCTTGGCAAGGAGAGGAGGAAGAGGGGGATCCGGAGGAATGGCGTGTCCCTGAAGAAAAACAAGTAAATGAGGGGAATCTTCCCCTCCAAGGACACTCGAGGACCAACCGGCCACCAAGCCACCGTTCAACCCCGTCCCAGCCCCTCCTCGCCAACCTGCAAGCGTCAGGAGTGTCCGACTCAAACACGAGACAAAGACGAAACACTCAGTTACACAAAGACACACGGTCGAGACTCCAAGAGACGGACACGCTATAAAACCGTCGAGGCAAGCGAAGTAAAGAGTTAGAGAGAGATTATTCCCCTCACAGGGGGCTTAGTGGTAGGAGGAGTCATTGGATATCAAAAAAAATCCCCAAACTACCCATAACCACCCATCAGTTGGGGGAACCCTCACACGGACAACAAAACAAAGTGAGGGACGTTTTTTTAGAGTTGGACTCAAACACAGGGGGAAACAGGGATGGATGGATGTGAGGTAGAGATGCTCAGCTGATACAGTAACTCCCGGACGAGAAACGGGCCTTTTTCGGCCGATTGTTCTTTTCGTTCCTTTCGCTCGTTCCCTGGCTGTGTAGGGTTCGGGGCCACCGTATTGGCAGGTTTGGAAGCTCTCTCTCCCTTTGTTCACGGCGGTTGCTACTGGCTGCATCAGGAATGTTAATCAGGCGCTACCTCGAACTGCACAACAAGCCAGAATTTATCGCATGCAGTCAACCAGCGACTAAGCAACTCTACCCTTTACAGCACAGAAAAAAAACGACAATCTTTGGGCAAGCAGACATGGGGGGAAAACGCAACGATTACATTCAGATTCTTTTGAATACATTCCATCTGAACCAACAGATTCGTCTACTTCTGGCAATGTTCTGTGGGTGGAGTATGGGGAGCAAATTGGTCCCGTTTCCCTTTGTACTTTGAAACCCATGACAGCGTGAAGCACTGTCACCACGAAAAACATGATTCCCGGACAATCGAAATAGTTGAATTCCATGATGGACTTAATGTGACAGGAGATTGGACTGGGATAACGTGTGGATGTGATGAATTCAGACTGAGTTCTGCAATGAACAAAGTGTGGTAGAAGAGCGTCTATGGCTATCATCTTTATTTCCCCATTTTAGTCCTGCTTGCTGCAGTCCAAATGTAAACAGTAAGTGTTGCATTGGCTGTGGCATTCGGGGGTGTCATTAGGCTGCGGCCATTATTGGACACATGTTCCTTGGGACCCTATTAAATATACATCAAGACCCCTCTGAATGTGGGAAAAATGTTACCTAGAATCAACCGATGCAGCACGAACAATCGCCGATTCTGACCAAAAACATCTCTAATTCTATCTCTAACTTTAGGCTCAGTCCTTGCATTTGCTTTAACCAGGACGGTAGGTATCTTTTTTATTCAAATTCCATCCCACTTCAAAGCCCTTTTATATAATCTGGTCACATAGTAGGAATTTAGAGAATTATAGAAGAACTCAATGGGCGTCTGTGCTGTTCCATTGAGTGCTGTAGATCGGGTGGATTTTGAGGTGTAGTCTTTAACCAGGACCTAGTCGGGGTCTTAATGTATACAACGCGGACCAAACAGAGCCTGCAGCAGCCAGTAGCACGGTCCAAAATAGTCAGCATGGCAGAGTTGGAGATCAGAGTCAAAAGAGGGGAAGTGGAGGACGGCGGAGATATCGACCTCCTTACAGTGCATAGATCAAATCAAGGAAGCACTACAATTACAAAAAATAAAAATAAAAACATGATTTTTTTTCATCTTCATTTTAGATTTGTAAACTTTATCAGTCATCAAATGATTAAATGTTATTTTTTTATATATTCTTTGTCCATAACACACACACACACACACACACACGCACACATAATAGATTTTAAAATTTATAACATCCACAATTTCGCTAAAACAAAGCAGGGGTCATTTTTTTTTCTTCCTGGTTTTACAACCGCACAACTTTATGGCGAACACAGCTTGAAAGGTTCACCACCTGAAACCGGAAAGAGAGGGAGGTTTTTTTAATCTTTTTGTACAAAACAAACAGAACAAGGAACACACACACGCGCAGAAACACACACACACCACGACGACCAACGCAACACAGGAATAGCAAGGATTTGCTACAGAGGTCTCTCATGTCCGCTCCTCCGAGGGCGGGCGATGATCTCACCAACACAGACGGCTTCCGCAAAGAACTGTATCGTTATCGTTTGTAGTAGTTGTACCATTGCTGTTAAAAAGTCCCACTTTCTCCATCGTCTCTTAACTCCCAGTGGCTTCCTCGTTTCTTAAGCAGTATCCTCTGGTGAAAGAAACTAAAAAAACAAACAACAAAAAAACAACGAGGTCCTTGACATTACTTTATTCCATTGGTAAAAATGTAAACATTTTGCGAGGTTGCCTTGCATGGAGGTACTAAGAGGCCTGTCTTGAGGGCAGAGCCGTGTAGTCGCAGGGTTGTTGCTGCACTGAACTAAGGCTGGCCAGTCAGCGGTGCAGGGACTTCTGGGCCTCCTTCAGCAGAGTGTCAAAGTCCAGTGCATCGTACTTGCTCTTCACGGGGCCCGGGCCTGCCTCGTCTGCAAGACAGAAACACAAGGTCGTTATCAAACGTAAGAGATCTCAGTCAAACGTGTGTCCTTGTAGAGCTCTGCTCAAAGAATCGAGAGACTCGGCGATGATTCGAAAGACTCATTCCAGATGTCCAGCAGGCTAAACAATAATTAATGGGAAACATGACAACGTCGAACCGCAAATTATTCTATTCAACCGTAGCAAACGAGTCAAGTACCAAGACGGCATAGTGAGTGAGAGAGAGGAGGGCGGGGCTACGTGATCTCAAGTTACCGTGAGTGTGACTTAATTGCGACTGGAGTTTCCCATCTCTGTCCCGTGCAGCTGATGAATAATGTGATAACCTGATATCAGATCAGACTCGCGTACTCACCGAGACCCGTTCCACCGTTTCTGGCCGTATTGGAGGCATCTGTGACGCCGGCATCGATATCGTTTCAACTCTTCAGTCACGTAGTGTGAAACGAACGTGGTGTGAACTTGGCTTAGAACGTCATCGCGCCTTAATGTTAAAATTCCAGATGGAATGTGTGCGTCTTAAACGCAGTAAACTTCTGTGGTGCTTTCAGCTTTGGCGACACACAAATATGCCACATCGACCAATTGAACTCAATTCTCTAAAAAAACATACTTATAACTAATAGCTACTAATACATTAGTTACCGCAAAACCAATATCACGATATCAACATGTTGGTTTACTATTTTATAACTTTGTCAGTGAGTCCGTGTTCATTACCGAGGTCTATGTAGCGCTTCCTCGTCAGCCTCCGGAGGCCTGCAGGCCCGTTCTGGAAAACAGTCTCCCGTTCTCTCCAGTGCTTTTGACCCCCCGACTGGCGGATCTTTATCACCCCGCAGCGCTCCCTACAAACCACACAGGTAAGAGAGACGAGACACTTTCAGATAACGTTCACTACCACGAAGCTGCGTCAGTAGAGATGGAGAACGCTGAATCAATCACATGCATCCCTTTCATTCAATGCACAACATTTAAGGAATAACTGCATTGGAATAGCTTGTAGTCATTATTTGACTGCGATACTTTAACGTGATTATGAAGAATGCATTTAAAACCATCAATCAACCATTCCTCCTCCCTTCAGGTGCAGGAATCCAGATCCGGGACACTTACTCGTTGCAGATGATGACCTTGCAGTCCTCGGGTTTGCCGAAAACCTGGAAGCGTTTCCTCAGCATGTTCTGGGTCACACTGGTCGGCAGGTTGTGGATGTAAAACACCTGGCAGTTGTCCTGGCAACATGGAAACCATGGCAACAGTCAGGACAAAGGACAATACAGATAAGACGTGGGAACTGAGGCGGGAACGCTGAGCGCAGGGCGGCAGGGGTCTGATTGCGCAGCTGCAGTATTATATTACGTGGAATCAGTGTGTTAAAATGTCCAAACTCGTGGATCAAAATGTCTGATGTTTCGTTGGCGTAAACCGTTGGACCTTTGGAGTCTGGTGAGCTCAGAGCTACTGAGGTGGAGTTTGCTGTTAGATTTAAAAGTGTCTGTAGGATGTTCTCCGTACCTCGTCAGACTTGGCTTTGTTCCTCTGCTTGTCGTCGGGACAGATCTCGGAGTTCTCACTAAAAGCAGGACGAGGAAAGAAAAAGGGGGAAAGAGAGAGAGAGAGAGAGGATAGTGAGTGAGATAAGGACGGACACAAGGTGAAACTGGAATGTCAGACACGAGGAAACAGGTGAACTGCGGCAAAAAGGCGGACTTTCTCCCACTTACTGCAGTACGGCATCGCTCTGTTCTATATCGTTCTCTCTTCTCTTACACCCCGACCCCTTTTCCTTCTGCCATTGTCTTCTATGTACAGAAATAATATGACCATTGACCTCCTTCTATGTGAGGCAGTCGAGGCAAACTTGATCTAATCTGTACTGACCTCTATGTAAGTAGATGGTACAGTATTTGATTTAAATGTTAGCACGAGTTGTTTATAGGACGACTCCTTTTAAACTGTATTTCTGTTTTCACGCTACAGATCAGATCGCCCTGCACATCTGTGCCAGTAAACAAAAAACACAGCAGATCAGAAGTAAAAGTGTTTAAGTTGCTGCAGTGCAAAGAGGACACGACTCTCTTGACCGGTCGATGCTTTGACTTTAGGTTTGTAAAGAGTTCAGCCTCCAGCATCCAACATGTTCACCTCTGTTTACCCTCGTCTAGAAGGTCGGGTGATGATAAACCGAAGGATAGAGATTCTGCCCTAAATTGATCTCTCCCTTTCTCTCTTCTTCTAATGCCGTGTTCTACTCGTGTTGTCTGCTTCCCTCCGTCTCTACATTTCACTGTTAATCTCCTTGACCCAGATCTTCACACCGTCTCATCGTCTGTCCGTCTCACCTGGAGTCTGTCTTGCTGGCGGGGGAGTCGGGACACAGGTGGAGGATGGGAGAGGGTGAGCGGGACGCAGACGAGCGCTCCGCCTCTTCCTCCGAGACCGGTGGTGTGGCAGCCCCCGACCTGCAGCGTGACGGCAGTGATGATGATGATGAAGAGGATGAAGATATCACCACTGTCCTCTGATGCTCAAGCTGTTCTGCGATTTCTAACACCACCAGCCTTTCCCTGTTCTCCTTTCCGTTTCCATCTGACACCTGATCTTCGGCTTCTTTGGGCGTGAGGGCGGCGCCGACGCCGTCGCTCCCTACTTGCGCCTGCAAAATGGCGCCGAGCATGGCAGCGCTGCGCTTGCGGCTCTCTCCGAGGCTCAGGGCGCAGTAGTCGTGGTCGCCGAAGGTGCAGTGGGTGTCGCTGTCGCCGGCCTGGCCCATGCGCCGCAGCTGGGCGTACAGCTCCGTCTGCTCCGGCAGCTTCCGCTGGTGGGGGACGCGGATCAGCCGGGACGAGGCCTTCGCGGCAGCGCTGGTGCTCGAGGCTGAGTTAACCGACTCGCTGCAACCTCCGCCGTCGCCACCACCTGTTCCTTCACTTCCCTTTCCTCCCTCTGCCGGTTTGAAGAGCTCATCCTCCACCGGTTTGTGAGGCGGGGTGGTGGGAGGGGTGAGACCTTAAAAAAGGGGGAGGAAAAGATACCCACATGAGCTAGATACAAACTGTTTCCTGCCAAGAAATAGTCTAGCACATAACCTCTCTTTTATAGGAGGTGGAACGTATAAATTATCAAGTTTTTAGGTGCTGGTAGGCACATTTTGTTAGCTTTGGACAAAGCCACATTCGCAGTTGCCCCCTGTTCTCAGTCTTTATGCTAAGCTAAGCTAACAGGCTGCTGGCTCCAGCTCCATATTTACTGTACAGATACATGAGTGGTATCGATCTTCTCATCTAACTCCTAAATGTCTGTCTCACACGGCTTCCTGTTACTTTTGAGGATTTGGTCCCTCTATCCCATGTGACTGTATCTGTCGACATCAACAGTAAGCGCGAGATGTTTACCTGCCGTTCCGCACAGATCCACGCCGAGCGTCTGCTCGAAAGGCTTGGTGCTGTACTGGGACTCTCTGGTAGTGAAGAGATGGCAGCGATCAAAGGAGAGAGAGAGAGAGAGAGAGAAATTAGAGAGTGCTGTGTCATGTTGGAATATGTTGTATTTTTTCCAAACAAATAAGTCAAAAGCAATCCAATAACATCCTGAAACGTCTCCCAGTAAAAGCTCTTTTCAGCCGACGTCTGCTGAATTTGAATTATGTTTCTCCCTGTAAACGCTGCTGCCATTTCTCGGCACTCCTCATTTCTTATCGCAACAGCCATATGTACTCGTCTGTCCTCTCCCCTATTCTTCTTCTTCTGCTTTTCTATTTCTGGCTGTCTGTTTCTGTTTCTCCAGTCGCCATGAAAGAAAGAAAGAAGCGGTCCCGAGTGGATTGGCTTCGGGCGGGATATTACCCTCCGCGGAGTAACATATATATTAAAATAAAAAACAAAACTCTTTCTTTTTTTGGTGAGCGCTTCAGAAGACAGATTCATTTAGAGGATGGACGGATGCCAGCTGGTTTGTACAGAGACCACATGACTAGCCTATGACTGTAGCTGGAGACGTTCCAGGGTTTGAGGCTGGGTGGGCGGGGAGGTTCATTTGTAAAAGTAGGAGCAGTGAGGGCTCTCAGATTGAAGTCTGAGCAGCCAGAGGTCCAGACTCATTAGGGATTTTGGAATAAAAATCTCTGAATTTGAACTCGGTTAATCTTGCTTTAAAACATTACACAGTCCCACGAGATTATACATGACATGACTGCAAACCACGCTTTGAAGAACACTGACTTTTCAGGGGACACGTTTGGGTCCAACGGTGTCTCGACATGCACGATCCGACCTATTTAGTCCTGTCAAATTTTGAAATGCTGAATGTGAACACGTTTGTTAGTTTACGAGGCTCTTCCTCCCTGCCAACAACAAATCCCCGAGCCAAACACTCCACACTTGGAGTGAAATGTTTGAATTATGGACCTCTGCCACATTGTGAAGCACTGACTGTAACAGCAGCTCCCATTGAGTCCATTTGGAGTTTACATCAGACTCTAAGTGGGGAAACATTACCTGGAAAAAGAGCCCAGCCCTGTTGTGCATTGAGTGCTTACAAATACCAGGACTTGGACAATACAGTCATGTTATATATCCTGCTTAAAATATATGATCTGGAGGGAAATAAGCTCACGTTGTAAGTTCATATATCCCACATAAAGTTCCCAGAATCTAGATTACAGTCTAGTAGAGAAATAGATCATAAGTTCTTTACGTTACACCTAATGTCATTAAAGGTAGACTTAACCACATTCATCAGATCCAATATGAACCCAACTGACAAACTGCTGCTGCGGTCATTAACAAGATGTTTTCTCCGGTCTGAAATGGTTTGTGAAGTACAAATATTTAGCATTATGAATTTTAAGAAGCAGTTTTACATTAAGGCCCAGGTCGAACACTTCATTATAACGACACCATACTGTATGTTTCTCTCATTGAAGGATCTCCCGAGAGGCATCTATCTTCCACCGGTCTGCTCCACAGAGGCCACTGCAGCTTTTTATTTTATTTTTAATATGAAGAAGAAGAAGATGGCGATTTCTGGAAATGAGCACCGCAACATTTTAGCATAAATTAACATTGGAAGTGGAGTTTTTGGATTAACAGTTATGACTAATGCACTTTTAATGAGTCATTTTGATTATTTGGTTAGAATTACATAGTTGGATATCTTACATGTAGCTTCTGACTGTACGCTTTTAATAAATAGTTGGATATGAACCAGTAGAGAGTTGATCTGATAGCACCATGTAGCATCATTAACAACTGGAAGTTCAGTCGGAGGACCAGGACATTCATCTAAGGAGGACTCGCTGCTGCATGCAAGATGCTGCATAACAAATGGAGATCTTTTTGCAAAGCTACTCCTGTGTGATGAGACACAGCAGCTGCTTCACGTGGAGAAACTCACCCTGTGGACTTGGGGGTGAGAGTCAGACAGAGGCAGGCTCTCTTCTCTGCAATCAGAATAAGAAGCCAGTTACAACCAGGCACAACTTCAGATCCACGTGTCTCTGCCATTCTTACCACCAGAGCTGTGAACGTGTATGTCTGCTTGTATCTTTTGGTGCGTTCACACCGAGTGTCATAATAATAATCAGTGTTGTCAGCAGTCACGTGTTTGAACCTTTCTGGATCTCATGTTCTAAACCTAATGGTGAGGCATACGAGCTACATTATATGTGACTTATAAATTAACTTGAATAGGTTCTATGAGATGTGGATTACAGTTAGAATAAAATGTGATGTTGGTAGCTATAATGTAGTTGAGAATAATGGGCAGTGTCCTTCCTATCCATCTCACCGTTGTGGCAGCAGGGTGTGGTCGGCTCATCGCTCGGCGTCAGCTGCTCCGGCCTCGTCTCCGTCCTTGTCCCCCCTCCCGCTTGTGTCAGCAGGAGTTTGACCCCTGCTCGTCCTTCCTCCCTCTCCTCCCTGTCCTTCCTCTCCCCTTCCCTCGCCCGTCCAGGCCGCAGCCTCTTGGCGAAGCGGCTGGGAAAGGAGGCGAGGCGTCGCGAGCGCCGGACTGAGAAGGAGCCGCCGCCGCCCTCCTCCGTCTCCTCTGGGCTTTGCGCCGCCTCGGAGGAGCGGCTTCTCCTCTCAAGGGAGGAGGAGTCTTTACGCAGCTCTGGCTTTGGGGTGGTGGAGTAGGCCGGGGCTGACCTGGCCGGGGCAGAGGGAGCGGAGACTCTGCTGGGGCTGTGAGAGTGGGAGTAGGGAGGGCTGTGCAGTCTGTAAGGCTTGCTCACGTCGAAAGAGCTGCTCTGCTGCAGGAGCTCACGGAGAAGGGAGTTGGCCTTCATCTCCCTTCGCCTCGCAAAGGGGAGCCTCCTGGGGACGCCTGTCCCAGCTAAGCCTCCGCTAGTCCCGGGAGTAGCCACCAAGACCACTCTGCTGTGAGAGCTTGTGGCGGCCGGGCGGGAGGGCTCGGGTCTGGCCCGAGGCCTCGCGGCCTCGCGGTCCTTCCGCTCCCAGCCCTGCTGCTTGCGTGTGGGCAGGCAGTAGGTGTGCATGTACGTGATCAGCTCCACCACCGAGTGCATTTCTTTCTCCGAGCTGAACTGAGGCTTGGCCGGCTCAGCGAGGGCCGTGGACACGACCGCCACGCCCTCCACCTCGCTGCTGGAAGACTCCTCCTCTTCTTCTTCTTCTTCCTCCTCTTCATCCTCCTCCGACTCGCTGTCCTCGTCCTCTTCTTCCTCTTCGTCCTCCTCCGTGTCCGGGGCCGGAGTGTCCCCCGAGTCCCGGGCAGTGGTGAGGTGGCGGTGGAGCTCGGTGCACAGGCGGCCCGCGGGACGCACCGCTCGGGGCTTCCTCTCCTGACGGAGGTCGGTCTGAAGGGTGGAGACACACAAACATGAACACCAGCGTGAGCCTCTTTCCTCAAACATTCAGCCCTCAGTCTGCAAAATATTGCCATTACAGTTACATACCAACACACATTAACAGGGCAATGTTGGCCAAAGGTTTATCTCCTAATAATTCCTGCAGGATGAGCAGCTTCTACAAACAGTCTGTGCTACTTCCACAGGTGCACGGTGAAGAGGACAGCAAGCGGCTGCATCAACACCTGATGCATCACCCTCAGCTGTGAGGCACTACAAAGGGTGGTGAAAAATGCTCAGAACATCATCGGGACAGAGGACCCTGAGTCCCAGTGGTGTTGGAAGAGGGATCCCAATCACCAAAGACACAAACTCTTCTGCCCGCTGCCGTCACAATCTGACTTCTCATTAAACATCTCCTACATTGCTGTTTGTATTAAAGTTTATTTATACTGCAATATCACACTTTTACAAAGATATGTCTTACTATTGTGCTTTATATGCGTTATATTTTATCCCTATACTTTCAGATTGAATTATCTAATGTGTTAGATTCCCGTATATGTTACTTATTAAACTATTCTTTTATATATATATTAACGGGCTTTGTTGTGAGTGAGCGTGAAATCTAAGACGTTCATATTTAAATGGCAAACTATAGTGTGACTTTTTGATGATTTCCATGATATACTAGAGTATGACATATTTCATGCCAGTTTATGACATACTATACCAGGACATAGACAAACTGTAGGATGATGTTTTAGTCACATTGTCCACGACATACGATAAAATGACTTTTTACGACACTATACCATGATTTTTTTCATCAACATTTCACGACATGGTGTACTATATCTTTCATGATATCTTTACGACATACATAACTTTTTCATGATATTTTTAAGACATACTATAATATGACTTGTTGTAAAATTCCTCATGACATATATATTATGACTTTTTTATGGTATTCATATGGCCTACTATGTTTTTTTCATCATGTTATAGTACAGCATGTCATAAAAAACTTTAAAAAGTCATATTATAGTTTTCATAAAAATGCCTAAAGAAAGTCATAATATAGTGTGTCGTCAAAAAGTGATATGAATATGATAATTAAGACTTGGGAACATTGAAACATTTGACTGATTTTATGATGTTTTAATTAAAAAAAACGGGTCTTCCATAAACTCTGTAGCTGTGCTGGAAATATCTCATCACACGGTCGACAGTTACTCCAGAGCACAAGAACAACAAAACGCCTAACAAAACAAAAACAGACTCGTGAACAAATGGTGTATCTTCAATTTCCTGCCTTCAATACAGGAGCACTGACCACAAAGCAGTATGTTCAGTTTACGACTTTGTGAGGGATGATTCAGCGTGCAGCTGGATGAAATGGCTGATTCCATATTGCTCATACTGAGAGAGAGAGACTATGATTCACCGTTGCCCCCTTGCCCTGTCAGTCAATACTCCCGCCATCTGCCACAGCAAAGCCACCACTACTCAAAGACCAAAGCTCACACGCTCACACACACACACACACACACACAGCCAGGTTCGGAGGTTACATGATGGAAACAGGCTTGGCTTATCCCGCCCCGCATCCTGTGGGTATTTTTTTTTACCCTCCTTGCTTGAGCCACAGCAGAGGGCTGCTTGAGGCTTCGCCACGTTTGTTTTACGCTTGTACAAGATAAACGACCGGTGCTGTAATCAACGACCACTTGAAGCACAATGCTCGTGGCTATAAAATTACTGCGAAGTCACACAGCAGTAGCTGTGGTAAATGTCCTCTCCCCCCCGACACCACATCTATCATCGGCAGCAGCTGAAGGTTGAAGAGTTTTGAGTCTAAAATTAAATCTTTCATTTGAAGAAAAAAAAAAAAAAAAGCTGTTGCTGGCTAGACTTTGGGAGATTATGCTGTTTTATTCCTGCTCCTGTGAATGATGTATAATGACGATCCAAGACCTGTCAGCTTCATCCATTATCAGTTCTCAAAGGCCAATACCGATGGCTATCATTGTTGCACCGGAGCCACTGAACTGCCAGTTTTTCAGCAGTTCTACAATAATTAAACCTGTGATTAAACCTCGCCGCTAAAACTCTCCCCAGACAGCTTGTGTAATAACAATTACTTCATGTGGGATTGATGCTGAGGATGCACATCTTAACAAAACTGACACACACACACACACACAGCTATGGAGGAAAAAAAACTCCAGCTGCTCCAATAAACATCAACATAAGACAGTGACTTTCCCATTTGCCTCTTTATCATATCAGTGTTTTCTAATCTGCAACAGTTTACTGCTGGTTAACTTCAGGCAAGATTATGGTCGAAGGAAATGATGGTTGTACACGGGACACTTTGTACGGTACACCATCCATCTCACCACTTCTCCCTCCTATGTCACTCTACCTCCATCTTTGCTTCTGAGAGAGAGCATCCATTATTTTCATTAAGCACAAGAGAGAAAACGCCGGTCGTTTCAAGCATCGGAACAACTATTTACTGCACTTTATCTCCTTACACTCTTTAAATGGACAGCGTTGGAATGATTCATAATCAAAGGCTGAAATCTGTTTAATGGACGGGTCTGAATTCACCCTGCAAAAAAAATAAGTGCAGACGCCAGTGAATTACTTCTGCCTTAACTCCCCCCCCGAAACAAATCCAAGGCCGATGGGAGAGATTTAAATCATACCACTTATTGTAAACCAGCCAAATCTACCTTTAAACAACAGGTATTTACAGCGATTCGTGCCTCACCTTGACCAGGGGTCTAGCCGGCCGGAGGTGCAAGCTTCTGTTGGTATAGCGATGGCCGTGGACTCGGTCTTTGTGTGCGTCGACGGCCGCGGGCACGTTGGGAGGAGTCAGCAGGAGCTTCTTCAGCTGGTGAGGAGAAAGAGGGGCGGGAGAAACCAGTTAGGCTGCTCTTTGCAAAACTAGCATCGACAGGATGTGCGTTTTTTGTTTCCTGTAATGATGTCTTTATGCGAGGACCAAACGTGGACAGAAAGTGGGAGATCTTCCTCGCCCTCGCATTTCAATTTTTAATCTATATTCTGTCAGCTGTGAACTCCCTGCAGATGGATGTTTGTACAAGGGAATAATGTGCAGAGGAGGCCATGAGGTTATGATACTGTACATTTATCACTACAGCTGACAACTACATGGCACGTTCACATTTCCCATTAAAGAGCTGGATTCAGCCACTTCTCTCTCTCTATAATAACATAGAATATGACTTCTGCTCCTCAATTTGTTCTCCATCCTAACCGTCCTATCTATCATTCCCTCCGTGGTCACTTCCTCCCCCTTTTTCCATCCCACCGTCTCCACCTGCCTTTCCTCCCCCTCTTTTCTCCTCCACCTATCTCCATCCTCTCTTCTCTCGTCTTTCAGCTTCCTTTTCTTTCTGTTTTGATCCATAAATCTTTGATGCAGTCTCCCTTTCCCACTTCATCTATTCTCTCCATCTCTGACCTTTGACAACCATCTTCTTCTACATTTCCTTCTCTCCATCTATCCCCCTTAATGTTGTCTCTTTCATCTTTCCATACTCTCCTTCCTTCAGATCAAACAGGAAGCCACGGTTAGTACACAGAGAGGAAACAGAACAAACCCCCTCTCGACTCCTACCTAGAGATATCAACACAACCACTCCTCATTCCCCCGCTATCCTTTCATTGCTTTTCTTTTTTCATCTGTCTATTCATCCATTTATTCCAGTGCCTGGCTTCATGACAGGGCTATCAGCTGATATAAATCAGCTTAGGGAGAAAATCCCCCCACTAAGCTGTGCAGCGTTTGCTCCAGAAGACGACGGTGTAGAAAATACAGATGTGATAGGAGTAGAGGATTGGAGCGGTAGGATGTACCGGGGCTTCCCAAAATGATTTACAGCAAAAGGGGCCCCGCACCCAGAGGGCTATCTTAATGCAACACACCCTCTGGAAGCCATTCTGGCGGCCCTCATCACTCGGGAAGCAGTGACCGTGGTCGCCTGAGTTACAAATCCATCCCTCCTGGGAATTAATACAATTATTTCATATGATTTGGCTATTACGATGAAATTGAGGGAAATTCTAAATGATAAATCCACGCCTACATTTTTGTTTGGATAGGAAATAATTGATTATTCGCTGCTCCTTCGCCAAACTGACAGAGCAACCACGGAGCCACACTGTCACTAACTGCACTCGCTGACATATTATTTAAATATTGGAAAAAATGAATAAGCAATAACAGAGAGAAGCAGACAGAAGGGTCTACAATACGCGTTTAAAGGACAAATCCAGGATGTTGAACTGATTCAGCATTGAAAACAAGTTAAAAAGATAAAGATAGAAGCTGAAGCTAAAAGTGAACCAACACAGCAGCTGGAGATCGAGACAGGAGACAATGAAATGAAGGAACAGCTCTGTTCCTGTAAAGTCGGGTAGATCTTTATTCACTGTCGTAATCTTTAAAAAGCAAAAGCAGCACGTGTTTACATTCAGTATACCTTCAGCAGCTAGCGTAGCATAGACGTGCTAATGCTAGTTAATGATGTGCTAACATCCTCTGCTAATGTTGGCTCCACAGGATTTTAGGTAGAAATGTAACGTTTTATAAACGCATGTCTCCTTCAGAACTAACAAGTATCACTATTACACAACTTTTAAAAAGTTACAGTATTTCTGTGTTTCCTTTTACTTCATTTTCTTTCATGACTGACGGTTTTGAGCACATCCGAAGCTTCAATGTGTGAACTCTCAGTTTAATGACCACTTAAAAGAAAGACAGAACGAAACTGTAAATAAACAAGATGTGTATTCGTATGTTTAACAAGGTGCAGTTCAACATTATTCACTTTAAATGTACTTTAGAAAAAGACTGACGGGACATGAAACTACACTACAAATGTTATCCAGCCGCCTTGTTATATATTAAGCCATTATGATGACTCAATAATGGGGCCAGAACATCTTTAAATACTGTAAATACATCAAACCTGCTGACTCACCTCTAGTTCATCTTTATACGCGGGACTATAGATATCGTAAAGAGGCTCTTAAAAACACTTTCTGTGTTGGCATATGTTTACGGTAAAGTACTGTGAAACACAGAGAGGAAAGTCTTGAATCAAACTATGAGACGTAAATATAAAACAGATTTTTATGAAACAGATACAAGAGATTTATGGATTATAATAGTGGTTGTTTGCCTACAGATAATTCTCTCCAGGGATGGTAGTTTATCTACAACACTATCTTTGTTCATTACTGTAATGCTGTAATGAGTACAACATTAACCCCCAAACAGAGCTGGCAGTAACCTCAGAATACTATCTGGGTCAAAGGACCGACAGGACGATCGGCCGCGTCACCGATGCCGCCCTCAGTGGGCGATGCCAACTTGGCTCAGAGCGCCTGATGATGCTCCTCTGAGAGTCCCATTGAGGAGAGTGAAGAGGAGGCTGAAGGTTTGTGTCTGTGTGAAACACTGAAAGAACCCCCCACCCCACCGCCAGCGTTCAGGCCCCTCAAACACTCTACTCTGGACGCCTACCAGAGCTCCACTGGCAACATCAATACAGGCCTTGTTCTGTGGTGGCACACACACACACACACACACCTACACTATGCAGTATCCTGTCTCACCAGTAGAGGGCAGCGAAACACTCAGGCCTGAGCACATGAGTGACAGCAGCCATGTGAGAGTAAACCACTCAACTGATACAAATAGGACACACACACACACACACACACACACACACACACACACACACACACA